GCCCGCCCGCCCGCGTGCCGACTCACCCAGAGGCCCGGGGAGCTCACCGCGCCGCGGGGCTTCGGCGGCATCAGACAGAACAAGCCGGGCCTGGGCGCTGGCTGAGCGGGCACCTCAGCCTGGGGTGCCTGGGAGCAAGGGCTGGGGAGCCACAGGTGGGCAGGCACCAGGCCTGGGGGGTGCAGGGGGAGCCCCAACTTCGCTCTTGTGACCAGATGTAATGGCAAATACCAAGGGCGAAACTTAACGTCTCAGTGTGCAACGTTCTAGCTATGGACGACACTCCGGGGCAAGCTGAGAAAACTGAACTACTTGAAAAAGCAAGCACGTACCTGCTGAGGGCATAAACCTGTTAAAGGAGGCGTCCAGGGCCCCTGCAACTAGAACAAACGGACAGGGCAGTTGGCGGGAGCCGAGGGCAGTCCGAGCGCAGGTGTCGGGGCGGCAGCCGCCTGCTCTGGTTACGCCGGTCCCAGGCCCAGTGTCGGGGCGCGGCCTCCCCTCGGCCTGCGGCAGCCCTGGCTGCACTCGGCGGCGTCTCCCCAGCACAAGGCTGCTGACGCCGACCAGCGGGGACGTGGCTGTGGCGCGGCCAGCAGCAGGGGGCGCCCCCACACGACTGATCAGGCTCAGTTCGGGGAGCAAGGCTGAGGGACAGGGGTTCAGACTGAGACAAAGAGGACAGGCCACATGACCACGGCCGTCCACAGAGAAGTTGAAGCCCCGAGGCCCTGCCTCGGCGGGCTGGATGCCAGCCACAGCCGGAGGGGCGCTTAGCAGTCAGGGGCCGAAGCTCTCCTGCGGAGGCAGCTTTCAAAGCGAGGTGAGCTGGGTGACCCTGGCGGCTCTTTGCTGCTAAGTGCCTGCCACTCTGTGCACCTGAAGCGGGCGGCACTGGCAGCATGGCAGAGCGATCGGCCGATTATTCAGTCAAGGCCCGAGCAGCCGCCGCCCTACCTGGCTTCCTGGGCACCACCATCCTGGTGGTGGAGTCTGCTTGCCATCCTTGTTCCAAAATACCTGGAAGGGAGCAGT